CTGGTCTCGGGCCTCGGTGCCCTGGCCGGCACCACGCCACAACAAAAAGACACCACGTGGACGAAACTGTTCGTCGGTGGTTTACCGTATCACACCACCGACAAAAGCCTTAGGGAACATTTTAACGTGTACGGTGACATCGAGGAAGCCGTTGTCATCACCGACAGACAAACCGGAAAGAGTAGGGGATATGGCTTTGTAAGTATCGCAATAAGTATTCATGTTTTTCTGTTGATTGATAGTTGTTGCTGTGAGTTGCTTTTAGTTTGTGAATAGCTTAGAGTAGTCAGGTATATTTGAACAGTTTTTTTATTTAGATATGTTTTGAGTTAACGAACGAATATCTTTGTTTGTAATGAACAAGAGGAAGACTCTTCGTTTACACAGGTTAACGTTGCTGGAACGAATGTGCTAAGTAAGTGCGCAAAGATAGTGGTATAATTTATCGTGATAACGTAACCAGTTCGTGCATACGCATTTGAAAGACACGTTGGACTGACTTCATTTTACCGTAACATTTTTATTATCGATACAACTCGAATTGTTATTCTGACTTTACTTTTTATTATATTCAGTGGACAAATATTCATCGTGGCTGCAGATTGTCGCCATATTTCACTGCGCACTACATCACTACAATATTTAATAATTAAATAATAATTAAAGTATTGCTAGATTAGGGATTTCTCTCCCTAGATTCTCCTTAGGTCCCAGAATCAAGGTTCTAAATTTTAACTATTCTCACAACTCTTGCAGTTAAACTTTCTATGTACTCTTCAGATTATTTTAAAATCATTTTCTGTCCTATGAGTCAAAGTCTACGTTCATTGTATACACGTAGCTATTTTCAGTATGGCAGCTAATCCGTTAACTGAATTTCTTATCCAGGTCATTGTAATATTCAGGTATAATCGCGATACAATAAGCTCGTAATTTAAACCCTTAAGAGTAGCTATACCAGTATTAGGGTTCTCAGGACCATATACTGTCCCAGGGTTCTGTTTTAGGGTTCCGTTACAATGTATTGAATGGATAGCCTTTCTTTGGTCGAAAACTAAAATCTTTCAATTGCCGTTTCCTTTATTAGATTTCCTGTATTTCCTTGAACTTTCAAACTTCCAGATGGGGAAGTTCATTCATATGATTTTTGCGAATTTAATCTCTTGTCATATGTTGATGAGTATGATGTGTGACACACTCACACATGTGGTGAATGCTACTTGAATTTTTAATACAAATTTTTAAGTTTCAATTTGGAGTTCAATTATTTGAGTCAAATTATACTTTGCAAGGTTGAGGATACTTGTGTACAAAATTGACGTAACGTTTCAACTTCCTTTGTTTTAATATTGTATAGTTGAGGCACCTGACAAATAATGGTGGATGTATCGCAAGGGGTTGAAAGTGTGAACCTGTTAAAATTTAAGTAATATTGCAATTTAAAGTTTCAAATGTTCAATGCTCCAATATAGCTGAATTATTAGTACAAACCACCTATCTGACAACAAAAGCAAATAATAAATAATTTAAACCCTCCATCACACTAGCCTAACCAAACCTATCAGTCTTTAAATCGAGTCCATCCTGAATTATCACACTAAGCATAATTAAGATTACACTACTATCAAGTTTCCCAGATCTGTTTACAAGGAACAGGAGCATATGATCGAACCGGAAGCGGAAGGATTACCGAAATAATCGATCGAATCTGCATGCAGGTGATCATGGGTGACAGGCCAGCAGCGGAGAGGGCGTGCAAAGACCCTAACCCCATAATCGACGGTCGCAAAGCAAACGTCAACCTGGCGATTCTTGGAGCTAAACCCAGGGGTAATCTGCAAGCGAGTAAGTTTTACTCAAAATGTATGATAATTTCGATATATATACTCTCGATAGTTAGATGGTGATGTTTGAATTATTATCGCTTGAATGATTTTGTGCTGTGATTTTTTTTGATATTTCAGTGCAGACTTTTCAGTTTGTAGCTCATATTTTCTGAGTGGTTAGGTGTTCTTTTTATTATTTCAAAGTTTTTGATTTTAGTATTAAGCAGCTATTTTTAAATTACAGAAGCCTTTTCTGTTGTCGATTTTTATGGAGACAAATTACTGTGGATGTTGATTTATATTTGATCGATTGTTTATTCAGTTAGTTGTTGGACGTTGATAGGTTTAGTGAGATTTAGGGAAATTCTGAAGCTAAGGAAATGTATTTTTAAAGCTAGATAATTCCATATTTCTAAATTTAGATAATTCCATATATCTAAATCTAAATAATTACATATTTCTAAATTTTCCAAAATAATATTTCTATCTAATAAACATTACACATATGTCTAGTAAGTTGACAGTCGTAGACAATGCGAATGCTATTGTTTCCCATGCCAACTTACCAGACACACGTGACACGCATGAGTGACATTAAAATTCGAATTCGATTTTATGTACGTCACTGTCACGAGTTTTACGTCGTTGTAACATCGCCAAATTTGAAAATCACCTCCATCGTAGTAAGATATTATCTTCTTGGACGTAAAGGATAATAATTCTTGTCGAGAGATCGACGAGGGCGGGTGTCCAACGCTGGTGAAATATCTCTGCGAGAGTTCTGTTAATTTCATCTCTAAATTCAGTAGCAATTTAGAAATCTGTCGGAAGCAAATTTGAACTTCTATTCAAACATAATATAATTAAATTTCATAACGAAATCAAATTTCAATGTGACCTAATGTATAAATTAATTTATAAATTTTAATCCAATTTTATTTTAATTTCATCTGAGGTTATGTTTAGACTTTTGTAATGAATTTATATATTAAAATGCATATTAATTTAAAAATTTTTTAAATTAACCAGGAGATACATGGAAATTAATTTTAACTCTTATATGAATATAATAAAATTGAATTTCAACATAGATGAAATTACAAAGACAAAAAATATTTTCAATTACAATATTTAACTTTGACATTTATATATATCAAAATGTGAGAATTTCATGATAGGTATACAATTATAAATATAATATACAATTATTTTGTACATCACATTTGCAACAAAATTAGATCTCAAACTTAGCTATTACTTTAGACGCAGAATAATGTTCACATTTCTCTCCGTGAAGAATGTTTAAAAACTTTCCAGTTAGTAACTAAATTTAAGGAGATAATTACGTAGTTAAGTTCGAAGTTGAAAAGGGCAAAGTACAGCATCAGAAACGAGATCGAAAAGAGTCGCTCGAGTCGTTCCCTGAAACCCTTGCGATGGCTTCAAGCCAACATAGTTTGGTGCTTTGGCACCTAAGTCTAAAATTGCCTTAACCCAAGTGCCGGCTCTGTCTTTGTTTCTTTTCTTTCGTGCACAAAAGTCGTGTCTGTCTTCGGATTGGTCAACGATGCCTAAATTTAGGAGCTTTATGCGTACAATTCTACTTTGGACTTTGCATTACATTTTTATTCGCTAAGAGAAAGGACTTGTACATATTTTACACATACCGTAGAGATATAATTATGGCTCTGAAGATTACTTTTCTGTACTTTGTTATAATTCTCTGTATACTGTATTGATTGTTCGAAACTGTACTATAGTATAATATATATAAATTGTAATATAATTATTGTAACAATTTTTAATTTTTGAAAATTTTGAAGTGGTATCTCGAATTTGAAGGTTTTAGAGTTTCCAAATTCAAAGTTTCAAAATCTCAAGGTTTCAAATTTTCAGAAATTTCAAAAGTTGTAGATTTTAGTATATAATGCGCTTAGATCCAATACTTGAAGTTCCAAACTCTCCAAATTCCAAATTTCTGAAACTTTGCAGTTGTAAGATTACAGAGTCTAAAAGTTTCAAACTCTCAAAGGGCTGAACCTCCAAAGTCCCAAATTTCTAGAATTCCAAGATCACAAAATTCCAGAGCCTAAATCCCAAAATTCTAATCTTCCAAACCCTCGAATTTCCAAATTATCAGAGTACCAAACTTCCAAAGTCCCAAATTTCTAGAATTCCAAGATCACAAAATTCCAGAGCCTAAATCCCAAAATTCTAATCTTCCAAACCCTCGAATTTCCAAATTACCAAAGTGTCAAACTTCCAAAGCCCCAAATTTCTAAAATTCCAAGATCACAAAATTACAGAGTCTGAATCCCAAAATTCTAATTTTCCAAACCTACGAATTTCCAAATTATCAGAGTACCAAACTTCCAAAGTCCCAAATTTCCAGAATTCCAAGATCACAAAATTCCAGAACCTAAAACCCAAAATCCTAATATTCCAAACTCTCTAATTAACCCACCAAACTCTCAAACTCCTAAAGTCCCAAAATTTTTAACATTCTAAGATCCCAAAATTCCCATCACATCCCCAGAATTCAAAAACTCCAAAAATTCTCTAAAAGAATCCTTCCATATTTTTTTGTTCCAACGTAATGAAAGTATGGTTTAAGAATCGTTCGACTGGTCAAAGAATCGACGACAAAACATGTTTCTTTCCGGTTAGATTAGATAGCACGAAGGTATTGTAAGGTATTCGCAAAGAACAGGATGTTCGATTTACACGAACACGGGTGCCCGAGTTCAGGGCTGGCCATTAGAAACGTAAATAGGATTGACTTGGAATTGTTTATGATTTCAGCATTCCCGTTCGCTGCTGGCATTCGAGCTGGATATCCCGCGGTTCTTCCTGGTCAATATGGGTAAGTCTACATTGATGTGATTTGATTTTGTCGAAGGATATTAAAAGAACGTTATATGTCGTAACCGTAGCTAACGTAAAAATAGCGTACTATGTCAAGAGGAGTTCGCGCGGCTTAAAATCGTATTATTCGAGTTGATATAATGCGACCGTAATGAACAAAAATTGAACACGATAACAGGATAACGGTATAGTTATTCGATTTTTAGCAGTTCGTGGTATTTTTTAACGTTTTCGGGCATTTTTCGAACGTCTGAATTAAAATTACGATACAGTCTGTTACGCAAGAGCGTGGACGCCATCTTGTGTCGGAAATAATTTAATGGACGAGATGGATTAAAATTAACTAAAATTTTATATAAATTAAACAGATACGTCTGTTTGTATATTTGGTTCTCTTTTAAACTGAAATGTTTTGGTTTTATTGGTTATATACTTTAAATTGTTGTTAAATATGAGAACTGTAATTTAATGGTAATGAAGCAAATTAAATAAAATTACAATTTGTAGATATGACTCTGCATAAAATTGCAGATATCTGAAGTAGATATTCTTTTTAAACAGGGGTTAGAGTCGTATCAACGTCATAGGTTATTAGCGACTGAGGTAGATATCGAAGAAACAATAATTGTTAACTGAATAAGAATAGATAATATTATATTACTTTTCACTAAATATTATTTGTACTGTTATCTACATATCCATTAATTATGTTTTCTACTATTTTCTTTCGTACACACATTGGCAAATGTCAACAGTTTCATGCAAGTCAAGCTTGCAAATAAATTTATGTGACGCATTTACTGCCTGACGATGATTTGTAAACATGCAAATTTGTTTGTTTTATTGGTTAGAAGACTGTAAACTCGAAAATATTTGAATTTTAGAACTCGAACATTTTTTGTAGCATTTCATTGTTTTTAAGTTAGATGTTTTGCAAATTTTAATATTTCTTAATTTCTAAATTTCTAAATTTTGACATTTTTTTAATCTATAAAATTGCGAAATTGTGAAATTGCAAAGTTGTAAAATTTTTCTATTCTACAATTCTGCAATTCTTCAATTTTTCGATTCTTCGATTCTACGATTCTACGATTCCATGATTCCACAATTCCACAACTCTGCAATTCCAAAGTTCCAAAATTCTACAGTCCTAAAATTCTAAAATTCTAAAGTTATAAAATTATAAAAATGCAGATATTAAAAGTAAAAGATCTAAATTTCTGAAAATTCAGAAATTTGTAAATTTCTACAAAAACAGAAGAAAGTATCCACGCTCTCGCGTAACAGACAGTTCGTAATTCCCACGCCACCGAAGATAAAAATCGATCGATAGCGCACATATCTTGAATTTTGTAACTCCGATTAAAATTCCATGACAATTGTCCGCGATCAGGGGCAATCTTATGCGAAGTCGCAAGAAGGTCGATAGAAAAGAAAATCGAGAACGAAGGTACTCGCTTGACGGTCTCTCGGTTAATTTAACATAACAAACATTTTTTTAAAGGCAGACTTATATATAACGTTTCAGCATCCTGACGCGTGCGCGTAAAGGAGCAAGCAGAGAATTCTCTTTTCGTGATCCTTGAGAGTGCCAAGGATCGTTTCTATGGAGGGCAAAAATGTACATATAAAAGAGAGACGAAACAGAGAAAATAAAAAGTGAAATAAAAAAAGTGAACACAGAGAGACGAAACGAAAAAAAAAATGAAAGAGACAGAAAGAACGAAAGAGAGGAATAAAGAGAGAGAGGGGGAGAGAGAGAAATAAAGAGGGCACAGAAATATTTGCGATCAATGAGAAAGAGGGAGAAAAGGGAGGGAGAGAGAAAGAACGCGGCACACGCACACGTATCAGAAGCCATGAGTACCTACGAATTTATTTCTACGAAATCAAAAACTTCCTGAGGATCGGCCTCTTCTTCTTCTTCTTCTACTACTGTACTTTTTTTTTTTGGTTGTGCTTTTTTGTTTCTTCTTTCTTGATGAGGTTGACGTGAAGTGATATGACAATTTGATTGCGGTTGCTGAGAGATTTGTTTGTTACTGGTTTTGACTTTTTTGGTCTTTACTCTTTTTACACTCTTTTTCTTAATCACAATAATAATAATAATCGCAGTAACGATAGTTATTGAATAATCATTTGATTAGGAATTCGTTCGTTGTTTTTTTTTTAATTCTAATTCATAATTACGTGTTAACTTGGCGAATCGAAATCATTTTTAACAACGGTTTTCGTCGAATAACGATCATCGATTGTAACATTTTAGCGACCGTTCATTTCATTGCACCTTTTGTGTCTCGTCAAAGTGATCTATTTTTTTTTCGCACTGTGTTTAATTTCGTTGTGTTTTCTGGTGGCGGGTCTTTGACGATTGTAAAATTAGCTTGGTTTCAACAACGTTAGAAGACCTATAGTCATCTGTGCGATTATGTGACAATATGAATAGCGCGTTTTTGTTTGGCGTACTACCGTTCAAAAGTTTTGGGCATTTTATATGAGACAGTTTATACATTTTATACTGTTTATTAACGCAGTATTATTTACAGTAATTTTAGTATATATTGTACATTATTTATTAACACAGTGTTATTTACAATAATTGTATACATTGTAAATAATATTTTTTAATACAGTATTCTATAACCTAATTATGGTACTAATTACATATTAATACTTTTATATACAAAATCAAGTAAAACAATTATACAGTTTACACTAACATTTATTAATATTTATTAGACATTAGAAAAATTATAGTGAACATCGTGGTATACTAACATTTATTCATATTATTTTAAATATTTAATTATACAGACTATTTATAGTATACATTACGTACTAACATTATTTAATGAATACATAAAATAATTGTGGTTGTATACTAATATTTATTCAGTATCATATACTACTTCTAGTATTCATTAACTTATTATTTATTTTAATACTTATACTAATACAGGGTGTCTCAAAAATAAGATCAAAGTATAGATTTTTTTTTCAATCAGCTTCCTGATTTTTCTGAGAAAATTAATTAAAATATTTGTTAGAATATTTGTTTAAGACAGAAATGACAATTTAAATCATTCTCTGTGATAATTTAATTAAATAGAAAATCAGAGGTTCATTTCATTGTATTAATTACATTGACTGTGTGTTACACATAATTACACATACTGAACATAATGTATGCTACAAAATATTATAATTTATTATTGTTGGTAACTTATTATTGTTAGTAAAGTATTATTCTAGTTTCACTAATTATACTGGTATTATAGTAGCATTATACTAATAGAATTTTTAAAAATTCAAATTACATTAAGTAGTTAATAATATCCACTAATTCTTGAAGTAATAAAAAAGTTATAAAAATTAGTTTCTTTCTTCTACACAAATTCTGACAAACATAACCAAGAACCCAAACCGCACTAAACTAAAAATAAACCTGAAATTGAATTTCCTCAAAAACGAATACTATATTTCAAATTACAATACACTATGCCGAGACACCCAGTATGACAAAGCGATTTTAAAAACTAAAAAACTTCATTTCCGTGAACAATAAAAATGTCTCGAAACTTTTAAGCGGTACCGTACGTTCCGCGAAATTTCGCCGGCTTTTTTTAAGAACGATTTATTAAACGATATTTCACGGATCGTAATCCGTTCGATTATCGAGGGGCAAAAGTAAGTCGAAAGGCAACGAAGTAACGAGGGAAGATTAAACCGTGCACGGTTGAATTTCATTGAATTATGAACGATACGACCGATTCTCCGAAGCGATGGATCTCCCGTGTTTTTCGCCGGAAATCGACCCGCACCGACGCGAAACACGACAACGTTCATTAGTTTTTCATCGTGACAATCGATTTTATCGCGGTTTACCTCGTTTGGCCCGGCCAGATTCCTCGGCAAGCCGCAGAAATTCGTATCGAAAAGAAAACTGTAGACAAAAAAGAATCGTCGACAAAATTCTGCTTGGAAGATGAAAGGATAATTAACGCAATTTCGATTCTATCGACGAGAATTTGTTATCTAGGAAAGGTAGAAGGTTCGTCGAGTGTACAGGCTCCGCTAACCTTTATAATAATTAATAACCTTGTGTGTGTGGTGAAGGCTTACACTACACTTGGTGTCGCTATTGGTGTTGTATTTTTTTTTTTGGTGTTGTACGTGGTGGTTTTTTTTTTGGACTTTTAATATAACACGGTGTACCGTCTGTCAGGGGAACTTTGGATGATGTTCAAATCTAGTGTGATTTTAGGTACACGAACTGTACCGAGCATTGTGTTTCTCTTCCGAGGGAGAATATTTTTAGAGAAATTTTGGTTCATGTGCTGAGGTAGACGCCCCGACTTTTCTCGTCCCATTAATGTTCCACTGAAATTTTTCTGCTTTTCTAGCTTTCTTACTTTCTTATTTCTGAATGTTCAAATTTACGAGTTTAAAAATAAAATCAGTCTAGGAATCCTTCTTGGAAAGCTTAAAATTCGAAACTGTACCGAGAATAATAAAAATACCTCAATAACTACTAAAATTATTAGAATTCATAAAATTACTATAACATTCAACAGAGTTTACACAAAGAGGAATTTTCATCATTTAACTAGAATTCCTGAAGTTAATACTGCAACCGTTCAATCAATGCAGCATTCAATCGCAGATATATTGATACGTGTCCACGTGGAAACCGCGCAAGAATATCATTTGCGTCAAACACACAACGATATATTCGCGTAGCTGAGCACATGTCCTCGAATTAGCGTAACGTAGGTGGAAAAGTGAAATCCAACACCGGTTGAGGGACATTTTCTATGTCAAAGAGGGTTATCTCGGTGTTAGTGAATCCGTGGTGTCGTAAGTTATCACGAGCGTGCGTCGCCGACGATGAGGATCACGACAACGACGACAACGCCTCGGGTTCAGCCATCTTGGAGATTTTGGCGTTTGTCCAGTCTTTATTTAGATCCACCTGTCCCCCGGATCAGCTTCCATGTT